TGGTCACCCCGTGGTGCCCTTATAAAACTCAACGTTTAACCTGCTCACGCCGGCTTGTGCCCGCCCTCACAGTCGGGCATATTTGCGGAATACACCACGCCGCCGTTGACCCTGGCCATTGACCGAGCAACCCAACGTTCCTACCAGCTCCCTCCGCAGGACAATGTGTTTATATCTGCATGGTATTAAAGAGTGATGCTTGACGATCATTGGTCGAAGGCAGCTTCCATCTCGTGGTCAACTCGTGACCTCCCCACTCATCCTCGTAGCGTGGCACAGCTCCGCTGTCGAGTGACCTTCTGCACCTAGCTTGGCACAACAGTCAACCCATGGCACCGCCTGGGTCTGTCCCGTGACCACCTCCTGCACCTAGCCTGGCACAGCAGTCAACCTGTGGCACCACCTGGAGTCTGTCCCCTGACCTCCTGCACCTAGCCTGGCACAGCAGTCGACCCATGGCACTATCTGGGTCTGTCCCATGACCTCCTCCTGCACCTAGCCTGGCACAGCAGTCGACCCATGGCACCACCTGGGTCTGTGCCGTGACCTCCTCCTGGAGAGCTTTCGACACTTTCACGTGGCCTCAAAGTGCACCTAGCCTGGCACAAGCGCCATGGTGAAGTCACCGCCGCTGTTGACACGTGACCAGGCATGCAATGTATATTGCCTGTACTTAAGTATACATACTGCATTGAGTCTAATTATTGAGTGTGTACGTGTCTGTGTGTGCTGTGTCTATGTGTAGTGTCTGTGTGTGTACGTGTCTGTGTGTGTACGTGTCTGTGTGTTTTCGTGTCTGTGTGTACGTGTCTGTGTGTGTACGTGTCTGTGTGTACGTGTGTGCATGTGTGTGTACGTGGTCTGTGTGTGTACGTGTCTATGTGTGTACGTGTCTGTGTGTACGTGTCTATGTGTACGTGTCTGTGTGTGTTCGTGTCTATGTGTGTACGTGTCTGTGTGTGTACGTGTCTGTGTGCTGTACGTGTCTATGTGTGTATATGTCTGTGTGTGTACGTGTCTATGTGTGTACGTGTCTATGTGTGTATGTGTCTGTGTGTGTACGTGTCTGTGTGTTTTCGTGTCTGTGTGTATGTGTCTGTGTGCTGTTCGTGTCTGTGTGTGTTCGTGTCTATGTGTGTACGTGTGTATGTGTGTATGTGTCTGTGTGTACGTGTCTGTGTGTGTTCGTGTCTATGTGTGTACGTGTCTGTGTGTGTACGTGTCTGTGTGCTGTACGTGTCTATGTGTGTATATGTCTGTGTGTGTACGTGTCTATGTGTGTATATGTCTGTGTGTGTACGTGTCTATGTGTGTACGTGTCTGTGTGTGTACGTGTCTGTGTGTGCAGGTGTCTGTGTGTGTACGTGTCTCTGTGTGTACGTGTCTGTGTGTGTACGTGTCTGTGTGTGTACGTGTCTGTGTGTGTCCGTGTCTGTTTGTGTAGGTGTCTGTGTGTGTACGTGTCTCTGTGTGTACGTGTCTGTGTGTGTACGTGTCTGTGTATGTGTGTGTACGTGTCTATGTGTATACGTGTCTGTGTGTGTGTACGTGTGCTGTGCGTGTCTCTGTGTGTATGTGTCTGTGTGTGTACGTGTCTGTGTGTGTACGTGTCTGTGTGTGTTCGTGTCTGTGTGTGTACGTGTCTCTGTGTGTACGTGTCTGTGTGTACGTGTCTGTGTGTATGTGTGTGTACGTGTCTATGTGTGTACGTGTCTGTGTGTGTGTACGTGTGCTGTGCGTGTGTCTGTGTGTGTACGTGTCTGTGTGTACGTGTCTGTGTGTGTAGTGTCTGTGTGTGTACGTGTCTGTGTGTGTAGTGTCTCTGTGTGTTTGTGTCTGTGTGTATGTGTCTGTGTGTATACGTGTCTGTGTGTGTAGTGTCTGTGTGTGTGCGTGTCTGTGTGTGTACGTGTCTTTGTGTGTAGTGTCTCTGTGTGTGTAGTGTCTGTGTGTGTAGTGTCTGTGTGTGTAGTGTCTGTGTGTGTGTACGTGTCTGTGTGTGTTCGTGTCGGTGTGTGTACGTGTCTGTGTGTGTAGTGTCTCTGTGTGTGTACGTGTCTGTGTGTGTAGTGTCTGTGTGTGTAGTGTCTGTGTGTGTGTACGTGTCTGTGTGTGTTTGTGTCTGTGTGTGTAGTGTCTCTGTGTGTGTAGTGTCTGTGTGTGTAGTGTCTGTGTGTGTAGTGTCTGTGTGTGTGTACGTGTCTGTGTGTGTTCGTGTCTGTGTGTGTACGTGTCTGTGTGTGTAGTGTCTGTGTGTGTAGTGTCTGTGTGTGTAGTGTCTCTGTGTGTAGTGTCTGTGTGTGTAGTGTTTGTGTGTGTAGTATCTGTGTGTGTAGTGTCTGTGTGTGTACGTGTCTGTGTGTGTAGTGTCTGTGTGTGTGTACGTGTCTATGTGTGTACGTATCTGTGTGTGTAGTGTCTGTGTGTACGTGTCTGTGTGTGTACGTGTCTGTGTGTGTATGTGTCTGTGTGTGTATGTGTCTCTGTGTGTTCGTGTCTGTGTGTGTGTGTCTGTGTGTGTACGTGTCTCTGTGTGTAGTGTCTGTGTGTGTAGTGTCTGTGTGTGTTCGTGTCTGTGAGTGTAGTGTCTGTGTGTGTACGTGTCTCTGTGTGTTCGTGTCTCTGTGTGTACGTGTCTGTGTGTGTACGTGGCTGTGTGTGCTGTGTCTGTGTGTGTACGTGTCTGTGTGTGTACGTGTCTATGTGCTGTACGTGTCTCTGTGTGTACGTGTCTATGTGTGTACGTGTCTGTGCGTGCTGTCTGTGTACGTGTCTGTGTGTGTAGGTGTCTGTGTGTGTGTACGTGCCTGTGTGTGTACGTGTCTGTGTGTGTAGTGTATCTGTGTGTGTAGTGTCTCTGTGTGTTTGTCTCTGTGTGTTTGTGTCTATGTGTTTGTGTCTGTGTGTGCTCGTGTCTGTGTGTGTATGTGTCTATGTGTTGGACGTGTCTGTGTGCTGTACGTGTCTGTGTGTGTACGTGTCTGTGTGTTTGTGTCTATGTGCTGTGTGTGTCTCTGTGTGTTCGTGTCTGTGAGTGTACGTGTCTATGTGCTGTTCGTGTCTATGTGTGCTGTGTCTGTGTGTGTAGTGTCTCTATGTGTGTACGTGTCTGTGTGTGTACGTGTCTGTGTGTGTTTGTGTCTGTGTGTGTTTGTGTCTGTGTGTACGTGTCTATGTGCTGTACGTGTCTCTGTGTGTATGTGTCTGTGTGTGTAGTGTCTGTGTGTATGTGTCTATGTGTGTGCGTGTCTCTGTGTGTACGTGTCTGTGTGTGTAGTGTCTATGTGTGTTCGTGTATATGTGTGTTTGTGTCTGTGTGTGTACGTGTCTGTGTGTGTATGTGTCTGTGTGTGTACGTGTCTATGTGCTGTACGTGTCTCTGTGTGTACGTGTCTGTGTGTACGTGTCTCTGTGTGTGTACGTGTCTGTGTGTACGTGTCTCTGTGTGTGTACGTGTCTGTGTGTACGTGTCTCTGTGTGTACGTGTCTGTGTGTATGTGTCTGTGTGTTTGTGTTTATGTGTGTTCGTGTCTCTGTGTGTTTGTGTCTGTGCGTGTACGTGTCTGTGTGTGTATGTGTCTGTGTGTGTACGTGTCTATGTGCTGTACGTGTCTCTGTGTGTACGTGTCTGTGTGTACGTGTCTCTGTGTGTGTACGTGTCTGTGTGTACGTGTCTCTGTGTGTACGTGTCTGTGTGTACGTGTCTCTGTGTGTGTACATGTCTGTGTGTACGTGTCTCTGTGTGTGTACGTGTCTGTGTGTACGTGTCTCTGTGTGTACGTGTCTGTGTGTACGTGTCTCTGTGTGTGTACGTGTCTGTGTGTACGTGTCTCTGTGTGTGTACGTGTCTGTGTGTACGTGTCTCTGTGTGTGTACGTGTCTGTGTGTATGTGTCTGTGTGTGTTTGTGTTTATGTGTGTGTACGTGTTTATGTGTGGTAGTGTCTCTGTGTGTTTGTGTCTGTGCGTGTTTGTGTCTCTGTGTGTATGTGTCTGTGTGTGTTCGTGTCTGTGTGTTCGTGTCTGTGTGTCTGTGTGTATGTGTATGTGTGTGTACGTGTTTCTGTGTGTTTGTGTCTGTGTGTCTGTGTGTATATGTATGTGTGTGTACGTGTCTATGTGTGTCTGTGTGTTTGTGTGTATGTGTCACTGTGTGTGTGTGTCTGTGTGTCTGTGTGTTTGTGTCTGTGTGTATGTGTCACTGTGTGTGTGTGTCTGTGTGTCTGTGTGTTTGTGTCTGTGTGTATGTGTCACTGTGTGTACGTGTCTGTGTGTGTACGTGTGCACGTGTCTCTGTGTGTACGTGTCTGTGTGTTTGTGTCTATGTGCTGTTCGTGTATATGTGTTGGACGTGTCTCTGTGTGTGTACGTGTCTGTGTGTTTGTGTCTGTGTGTGTAGTGTCTATATGTATTTGTGTCTGTGTATTTGTGTCTGTGTGTGTACGTGTCTATGTGCTGTTCGTGTCTGTGTGTACGTGTCTATATGTGCTGTTCGTGTCTATATGTGCTGTACGTGTCTGTGTGTACGTGTCTATATGTGCTGTTCGTGTCTGTGTGTGTACGTGTCTCTGTGTGTTTGTGTCTGTGTGTTTGTGTCTATGTGCTGTACGTGTCTATGTGCTGTACGTGTCTATATGTGCTGTTCGTGTCTGTGTGCTGTACGTCTCTGTGTGTTTGTGTCTGTGTGTGTTCGTGTCTATGTGTGTTTGTGTCTGTGTGTGTTCGTGTCTATGTGTGTTCGTGTCTATGTGCTGTACGTGTCTATGTGCTGTACGTGTCTGTGTGTGTACGTGTCTATGTGTGTAGGTGTGTGTGAGTGTACGTGTCTGTGTGTGTACGTGTGTTCGTGTCTATGTGTGTAGGTGTGTGTGAGTGTACGTGTATGTGTGTGTACGTGTGCACGTGTCTCTGTGTGTTTGTGTCTGTGTGTGTTCGTGTCTATGTGTGTTTGTGTCTGTGTGTGTTTGTGTCTATGTGCTGGACGTGTCTACTCCTTCTTACCTTTCACTTCCAACTCCGACAGAAATCCGGACACCATCCGCCACTCCGCAGTCTACCTCCGCCACCTCCACCTCCTCCACCACCGTCATGACATTAATCATGATGACACTAACACCATCACTCTATCAACTCTGCCCGCTGTATTCCACCATCATTCACAACTCACACACATTCATCACCGCACCAGTGACAACTTAAACATTCACCTGTACCGACAACAGCAAACACACGCGCGCCACGACACCACAACCACCACCACCACAACAACAACAAACAAACAACACGTGCCACGACACCACCACGCACACACCCCGACACAACTCAGAACTGTCAGGCAGGGAGGCAGGGAGGGTGCAGGGCAAAGCAGAGTTCCGCATTTACAGCAGATGACCGCCCGAGTTCCTTGAATAACGCGCGCGTGAGTCATCGTGCGTGCACGTGTATTATTATTACTCTTCACAGGTGTAGCACTTGCCCCAACAGTATGCTGAGGCTATACGGGGGATCTTTGTCTTTTGTGTATCTGTCGGTGTGTGTGTGTGTGACCTGTGTGTGTGTCACGGTGTGTTTGTAACCTGTGTGTGTGTCACGGTGTGTGTGTAACCTGTGTGTGTGTCACGGTGTGTGTGTAATCTGTGTGTGTGTGTGTGTGTAATCTGTGTGTGTGTGTGTAATCTGTGTGTGTGTCACGTTGTGTGTGTAACCTGTGTGTGTGTCACGGTGTGTGTGTAATCTGTGTGTGTGTATGTAATCTGTGTGTGTGTGTAATCTGTGTGTGTGTCACGGTGTGTGTGTAACCTGTGTGTGTGTCACGGTGTGTGTGTAATCTGTGTGTGTGTGTATGTAATCTGTGTGTGTGTGTGTGTAATCTGTGTGTGTGTCACGGTGTGTGTGTAACCTGTGTGTGTGTCACGGTGTGTGTGTAATCTGTGTGTGTGTGTGTAATCTGTGTGTGTGTGTCACGGTGTGTGTGTGACCTGTGTGTGTGTCACGGTGTGTGTGTAACCTGTGTGTGTGTCACGGTGTGTGTGTAACCTGTGTGTGTGTCACGGTGTGTGTGTAACCTGTGTGTGTGTGTCACAGTGCCTAATTAACCTGTGTTTGTGTCAGGTGTAGCACTTGCCCCAACAGCCTGTTGGGGCTATACGGGGGATCTTTGTCTTTTGTGTATCTGTCGGTGTGTGTCACGGTGTGTGTGTAACCTGTGTGTGTGTCACGGTGTGTGTGTAACCTGTGTATGTCACGGTGTATATTTAACCTGTGTGTGTGTCACGGTGTATATTTAACCTGTGTGTGTGTCACGAAATGCTGAGGGAGGGTGGCGTTTGTGCACAGACTGCCCTACATGACATCATAACAACAGTGTGGACCACTGGACGGGTTCCGCAGGACTGGAAGGATGCCCTGGTGGTCCCCCTCTTTAAGAAGGGGGACCGTACCGACTGTAACAACTACAGGGGCAACTCACTCCTCAGTGTGCCGGGAAAGGTCCTGGCAAGGATTATTCAACATCGCCTTGCCAGGCACGCTGAGGAGAGGCTTGCTGAGCCCCAATGCGGTTTCAGGAAAGGGCGGTCCTGCACAGATGCCATATTTTCTGTCCGTCTGCTACAGCAGAGGTGTAGGGAATTCCAAAAAGACCTACATCTCTGCTTAATTGACCTGGTCAAGGCCTATGATACCACCAGTAGGCCTGAGCTCTGGGTTGTTCTTCGTGCTTTCGGAGTCCCTGACCCTCTGCTCACCATCATTAAGGACCTTCATGATGGTGAGCGGGCCCGGGTAAAACTACGTGGCCGGGAGTCGGAGCCATTCACTGTACACCTTGGGGTGCGACAGGGATATCCTCTGGCTCCCACATTATTTAACATCTATTTTGACCACGTAGTTTGTGATACTTTCAATAGCTGTACGGGAGGATGATCGATGCCCGGGTGCGGTCAAGGGATGGCTCCCTATTGCTCAACCATGTTATGTATGCCGATGATCTGGTAATTGCTGCTCACTCAGAGGAGGAGTTGGAGGCGCTGCTGCTAAAATTGGAGCTTGCCACTAAGAGGTGGGGCCTTACCATCAGCCCCCCACCAAAACTAAGCACCTGCCAATACAATTGGTGATGGGGCAGTTGTGGAGAGAGTGGAGAGTTTCCCATATCTGGGCAATGTCCTTATGACCGGCTCCAGTTTAACAGCAGAGGTCTCACTCCGAATCAGCCAAGCGGCATTATCTTTTCATCGGTTGCGTAACGCTGTGTGAAAGCTACCTGGTCTGTCGCTCTACGCTTGCGAAACGTGGACCCCCCTAATGGAACATCTTCGCCGGTTAGAAACATTTAGGCTAGCCTGCCTACGATCCGTCCTGGGTTAAACTAGGCTGGATTGTGTGAGGAGCTCACAAATCCTTGAAAGATCTGGACAAAGTCCCATCGGTGAGCTCCTCCAGCAGGCAAGGCAGCATTGGCTGGGTCATGTAGCCCGCATGCCCAGCTACCGCATGCCTAAACAGCTTTTGTTTGGCCGGATCGAGGGGGCTAAACGGGTGCAGCACGGGCTAGAGAAGCGATGGAGTGATGTGGTACGGGAGGACGTGGAGCTGAGTGGACTTGCCGATGACTGGTACCAGCGGTGTCAAGATCGGCCTCTGTGGAGGAGGCTCGTGAAGGACGCTACTGGGCAGTTGGAGGCAGTCGTCCTCCAACAACAACGGAGGGTGGAGGAGCGACGCTCACAACAACGAGCGGAGTGCCGGGTGACTAAAGCACAGCAAGTTGGCACAGTAGGGGGCACAGGTGGTGCATCAGCCACTCATCTCAGTCAGTCGACCCGTGGCACCTGCTGGGTCTGCCCCGTGACCTCCTGCCTGCAGGCGTTCAACACTTCACGTGGCCTCAAGGTGCACATAGCCTGGCACAAGCGTCGTGGTGACGTCACCGCCACTTAGTGGCGAATGGCGGTTATGTTATTTAACCTGTGTGTCACGTTGTGTATGTAACATGTGTGTGTCACGTTGTGTATGTAACATTTGTGTGTCACAGGTGTGTATTTGACCTGTGTGTGTGCGTCAGTGTCTATTTAGTAGTAACTACCGCATAGTAATTGGCACGCTCTGTTGATGTGGCAGCCCCTCAACTCGTTGGCTGTGTCGGGTGGTGGAGGGTTCAACGACACATTTATATTCATGCCACCTTACCGACCCCCCTCCCCAACCCCCAAATCTTTATAAAGTATGAATAAAATGCCTCTTGATATGCATATTCTTTTGTCAAGGCGCTCTTTTTCCCCCTTCCAACCCAGCTTATATATACGCTCCAAGAAACGTGTGCTGTTTCATTCAGACGCTGTCGCCTCGACAGACCTGGTTTTTACCTGAGGACGGCTGCTTGCGTTGTGGCCGAAACGTCGTGAGAATTGTTTTATTATGTTTTATTTTTATTATTGTATTATTTCCCTTCTACGTGACTTTACCTACAAACCTGTTCTTCACCTGAGGACGGCTGCTTGCGTTGTGGCCGAAACGTCGTGAGAATTTTTTTATTATGTTGTATTTTTATTATTTTATTACTTCCCTTCTACGTGACTTTACCGACAGACCTGTTCTTCACCTGAGGACGGCTGCTTGCGTTGTGGCTGAAACGTCGTGAGAATTGTTTTATTATGTTTTCTTTTTATTATTTTATTATTTCCCTTCTACGTGACTTTACCGAAAGAACCAAGAAGATGAATCCCTGCAGTCACGAAAGCTTTACATCGAAATTTAATACTGGGTTGCGAAAGCCTACGAACTACCACAACGTGTTCAACTGCGGTGTAAATCCACGGCTGGGCACTGCGTCAACAGCTGCCACGCCTGGAGATCGTCGATGGAATCGGTGCCATCTGGTTCCGAGTTGTTACACTCAACGAACAAATGGAAGACAATGCCGCGCATTGTCAGAGACGTCGTACGTATAAAATGCAACCCCCCTCCTGCAAAACGAGATGAGTTGTACACACACACACCACCACCACATTGGCTGCTTGGGATTTTTCCAGGTCACGTTATTATATTTTTATTATTTATCTATATATAGAAAAAGGACATTTTTGAATACGTTTCTCTGTTCGAAATGTTTAGCATGCTTCCCGACATGCAACAAACTTGAAATTTGGGTACTTTCCAGACTGTACACCATGGAAAAATTATAAAAATAGACTTTTGTATTTTTTTTGGGCGGGGGGGGGGGGCGCAATAACGCATATATTTTGCACGGCAAGTGAGCGGTGACGTCACATCTGTGACGTCACATCTGTGACGTCACCCGCACGGGGCAGCGTCACGCAGTGTGCCTGCTGACGTCACGCATCCCCCCCCACCCTCCGCGTAGGCCGTGTATCAGAGGTCGCAAACGGGGTTTGATTTCGATGTAAAGCTTTCGTGACTGCAGGGATTCATCTTCTTGGTTCTTTCGGTAAAGTCACGTAGAAGGGAAATAATAAAATAATAAAAATAAAACATAATAAAATTTCGATTTAAAGCTTTCGTGACTGCAGGGATTCATCTTCTTGGTTCTTTCGGTAAAGTCACATAGAATGGAAATAATAAAATAATAAAAATAAAACATAATAAAATACAATTCTCACGACGTTTCGGTCACAACGCAAGCAGCCGTCCTCAGGTGAAGAACAGGTCTGTCAGAAAGAACAGGACTGTCGGAAAGACAGCGTCTGAACGTTGTCTTTCCGACGGACCTGTTCTTCACCTGAGGACGGCTGCTTGCGTTGTAGCCGAAACGTCGTGAGAATTATTTTATTATGTTTTATTTTTATTATTTTATTACTTCCCTTCTACGTGACTTTACCGAAAGAACCATGAAGATGAATCCCTGCAGTCACGAAAACTTTAAATCGAAACGTACGGGTTTATTTATAAATAGCTTGTTTGGCCGTCCTAGGACGGAAGCTGTAATATTTACGAAACAATTGAGCATCATTGTAGCTTGTGTAAGTTGAATGGCATTTCATTGCAATTCACTACAGCACTGTAAATAACTGACCTTCAATTTGTTCAAATTCACCGCTCTGATACTTTATTAGCTTCTGCTTTCCGTCGCTGGGGTTGAAATCAATTGGAATTCGATGCAACAGCTGTAATAAGTATAACCCGTAAAAACAAAGTTTTTCACTCTAAATCCTTTATATGCGTGGCGGCTAGAGTCCTCTCGTCCTCTGGCTTGAGATGGCTGCAATCTATGGGTCAGATGATTGTCTGCCAGTATTAAGCAATTGGTAATTAAATATTTAAATTGT